TGGTTCAAGTATTCGGTGTTTCTGAAATTTCGCCTCTAGAAGTAACGCAATGATTTGATGGAGGGACCCAGGACGCCGGTCCCACTAATTCTGAAGCTTATCCTGGTTATCGTCACTGGAAAGCTGTCATTCCAATCAGCATCGATAATCCATCATGTATTGTGGGTTTAGATTACGGTAGGACCTTTGTCGGTAATAAATACATGTCTGGTTTTCTACCTCGAAATTTCTTACCTTACATATGATAAGAGGTCAAGATATAATTATTTGAGCTATTAGTCTTTTACCCAAAATGTTACTAACGATACAGATATAAGATGGTTTTTGAAGGGCATTTACAGGTTGAATCCATCTCAGCTGAAATATAGATACTGTGGTTATTCTCAACCAACCAAAGGGGTTGCTGGTAAGCTCTGTAGATATTTGAATGAGGAAATCAGCAACACTGCTAGCTCTAGCAGAGTGTGCAAACTAGTTGAAACAGACAACAGACAACACCCGGATGGGGTTGAATAACATTGAAATTGGGATTTCTCAGTTTTTAAAAGTCTCGGGGTCACTCATGTGGCAACCACTTTTAGTTTTACCGTATTTTACGCCCAAATATCTCTGCAGTCAAAGTATTTATTTGTCATTGTACAGTAACTTTATCATGGTGCCTCCGCTCCCAGATGGATGGAGTCGGTCTTAGCAGAGAGTGTCACATTTGACAACCTACAATACATGAAATGCGTCTACCTCTCCGCCTGCTAAATTACAGTAGTCTCAGGCGCGCGGCGGGCTGGAGTGCGTTTTCTGAGATATGTCACAAATCTCGTATGCCAAACAATAGCTTTGCTCAAGCGGCATTTGAGGTGAACCAAGTCTCCACACCTTAAATATTACTATGTAATCACGTTATTTGTTTACTACCATGTAACTTGAGTTGTTACAATGGAAATGTACATTGCCTACAATTTGTGTAGTTGTGTACAACTTATCGTTTACTATTGCAGAGCGTTAGTACTATGTTGTTGTAACTAGCTTTGAACATCTACGATATGTATTCTAAATATTTACTTCGACGAGGACGAAACATAATTACGTGATCAAACGAACTTACCTGTAAGTATTTTTTTATACTCCAACTACCACGAAGGCATAATGCCTAAACACGCATGGGGTACTGTGGGGCTATCGGGGGATACAGGGGAAAGGGGGAACGCCACACTGACTCTGACGGGGGAACACGTGTGCATGCAACATGCACACATTCTGGCCCCGCGAAAACTTCTCCTGGGACGGGATTCGAACCCGCACAGCGCGCAGCGGCTGATCAGGAGACCGAAGAGTCTACTAGACTTCGAACAGCCTAAGGTTATGCCCGCTACGACATCACTTTATACCCTCTCCCTTGCGTCGATTGTACCCTATAAGAATATAGGAAATTGTTGTGGCAGTCTCTGGTAAGATTTATGGACATCTGTTACCGCCCTCTTAATGTGGTCCAGTTCTAATCGTGGCGAATATTTATATCGTAGAAAGCTTAAAAATGTATGTGGTCTTCAATGTCCAGAAATTATGTTGCTGTTGACGCTGTTAAGGGACATCCCACTCTCAGAAAGCCATAGGCGGAACGTTTTTTAGTGCAAGTTTCAGTCAGTTGAGATTGTTGACACAATTGGGATCTGATGAGACGTTTGTTCGACTTATTTATCTTTTATTTATTAACCATATCATATTTTATATTTGATTGTGTTGAAAATTATTAATCTTATGGGGTTTGTGGATATTTGATGGAGATCCATAAATCAAAATTTAAAATAGTGAGCAGGTACCTACATATAATAGACACAATATTGAAGGGTAAAACCCCAAAGTTGGCAAACAACTGAAAGTAATTAAATTAATCCTAAGACTGTGATCCGCTTATATCTATACCAATCATGAGATTTCCTAGAGTGCATCATTAGCATCTAGATAAATAGGCTAATACCAATATCAAGCCTAGGTAAACAAAATTAGTAGAAACAAATCTAATAATAACAAGTGTAAAATTGAACTACCTGGAATAATTCCCGGTTGCTAAATCCCTTCGTTCGTAAGTAGCGTTAAGACGATGAGTGTTAATCAATCACATTTATTTTACCTGCAACAGATATATAAACCTGTCCCTTAGTCATAAGTTCAGTTTGTAAACAAATTTGAACAAGGCACCGTGTGTAAAAATTGTCAAATAGATTGCAATATAGTGGAAATTTTTACTATTGTTCAAATTTAAATTATTAATAGTTTTGAACCAGTGATCTAAACAATGTCTGTGAAAGAGATTGGCGTGAAAGGAAAGCCGATTGGGAGTCAAGGAAAGGAAATGATCAACAATGTCAATAACTTCATGGTACAGGAAAGTGTAGAGGGATTAAAGTTTCCACTTCAACAATACCGGTATGTATGAATGTAAAGGATTTTTATAATTATTGTCAATTAAAACTGATTAACCCATTTAGGAAACGTGTGTTAGCTGCCACGGGTATAAGTAAATGTACTTATCAAAAAATAGCTAAGGAGAGCAGAGATGGAATATATTCAAGCAACTTTTCATTTTCATCCCCATCTAAAAAGCGGCAACCAAAATCACCTGTTGTGAATAAAGTGACTGCAGGCCAAATTGAAGAAATGAAAGCAATCATGTACGATTTTTATATTTTGGAGAAAAGAAGACCTTCGCTGAAATGTAAGTTTTTAAATTGTAACCGTAGCATCTAGTCATATTTCATTTTAAGATTTTTTAGGTATTTACCAAAAAATGCAAGATCGACAACTCAATTTTGAGGGTAAAATAACGACTTTGAACAAACTTTTGAAACAAATGGGCTTTAGGTCAGTATTCATACACACTATAAGGTTTTCGATTTACAACGCTATAAATATAATTTATATCTACAGATGGAAAAGAACTACTGATAATAAAAAAGCTCTCATGGAAAAATATGAAATTCGCTTGAAGCGTATCGAATATCTGAAGCAAATTATGAAATATAGAGCTGAGAACTGGAACATAATTTATACGGATGAAACATATATACATTCTAGTCATACCCCAAAAAAAGGATGGTCAGATGACAATTATGACAAGGAACTAAAAACGCTTTTATCAAAAGGACAACGAATGATTATTGTGCATGCTGGTGGAGAATTCGGCTTTATTCCTAACGCCTTGTTGATATTTAAATCAGGTATTATTTGTGTTACAATGATGTAAAATATTTCCAATATATTTTTACATTTACTGGATTATATGTATGTATTTTATTTTCAGGCTCAAAATCTGGGGACTACCACAACGACATGAATCATTTGAACTTCATGAAATGGGTAGAAAGCCAATTGATCCCAAATTTGCCTGAAAATTCTGTGCTTGTAGTTGACAACGCTTCTTATCACAATGTCCTGGAAGAAAAAAATGTAATGTCTTCTAGCCTGAAATCAGAGATGATTGACTGGCTAGAAAAACATCAAATTCCTAGTGAAAACTCATTAACTAAGGCCGAACTATATAAAAAAATACAGAAAAATAAAAGAAGATTTCCAGTCAAATTCAAGCTAGATGCCTTAATGGAACAGCACGGGCATAAAGTTTTACGACTGCCTCCGGAGCTAAACCCAATCGAGAAGATTTGGGCTCTCGTAAAAAACTGGGTTGCTCCACGAAATGTGACATTTAGGTTGTCTGATGTGGAGCATCTGACCCGTAGCAGGTTTGAAGAAATTGGAGCAGATGAGTGGAAGAAGATTTGTAACCACGTGAAAAAATATGAGCAAGCACAAATGGAAAAAGAACATCTTCTCGACGATCAAATGGATAAGTATCAATTCAATGTGAACACAGGGTCATCATCAGAAGATAGTGACGAAAGCGACTCAGATGAAGATTTGAAGCTAAACACACTATCATCTGATAGCGATTAGATTTTTTAATGATAATATATAATTTGAATTATAACCGTCTTTAGTTTGCTCCCTCTTCTAATTCAAATTTGCTTCCGAACAACTTAATGCGCATACTAAATGAATATAATAATACAAAAATCAATTAATGATCAATGTCTACACAACCTATTCACTTTATTTTATACTTCAAATAAAATAGAACGCCACTGCGCTCTGTCGACGACCGCGTGATGAGCGGACCCGCCCACGATGACGTAGCGGTCATATTCTAAGAGCGTTCGAACCCTACTGCGGCCACCGCTGCTGCCTGCAGTGATGTTCGATCTTAATTATGTGAAGTCCTCGTCGAAGTAAATAGCTCCCTCTCTCCCTATGTATCACCCAATTGTTGCAACAACTTGGCTTTGAAGTAAATGAAGGTTTATTGGCGGCCAGAGGGGAGAAATGTAGGGGGAAGGGGTGCGGTGCTACTTTCCTTCTCTGCGTGCGCGCTTTGAAATCGTGGCGGTTGGGTACTACTACGAGGTTACTATGATATGTATTCTAAATATTTACTTCGACGAGGACGGAACATAATTAAGATCAAACATCACTTACCGGTGATCATGTAATTATAGCTTAAACTTTTTCAAATATCAAATAATTGCGATAGACGGAAATGCTCCAACAAACAGTACAAGTTAAAGTCGAAAATCCCAAAGGCAGCAATGTTGTGACTTTACAGTGGACCGCAAAAGAGGAAAGGCTTTTAATAAGGTTTCACCTTTAACCCCACTGGAATAAATGATGTTTGTGAACAGTTAAGTACTGCCAGTAATGTCTAGTGCTAGTTTGTTAGTTTTTGCTAATTTTTGCAAGCTATTGAGAAATATAGCCTTATATACTACCATGCGACAAGTAATCATTTTTAAATAATGCTGTCGTCCGGTACTCATAGTGCGCTAGCCTACCGGGGTCATAAATAAGGAAGTGTGGGCAGATGAACCATTCAATTGGCCAGTCTAGGTACTGACAACGAGGAAGGAGTGGTCTAACTTTTCAAGAAATACCCGTCATTAGTAGGGTTCAGCATGTCTCCGACTGACCAAACGTCCGATTACAGGGAAAACTTTTACAGCGCAGGACCTTACGCCGACATGTTGCTGACCGAGCCTATTTCACCTCATGCTGTTTCAGCCGAGTCGTCACCAACGTACCTGTATAGTGCTGTTGAACATGTGGGTGAAAACTACAGTTTTCCAGTTGGAGAAAGCCCTTATTCCAACAACTGCCATATGGAAGATAACTGTGTGTATTCAAATCCTTTCACCACTGACACGAAGAGAAGCAAAATAACTTATAGTATTTTTACTAGTAATATACCTTCCGTATTGAAATGATAGTGGTATTTTTCTTAAAAGATTACGACTGTTTAACTTTCACAAAATCTAGTCAAGTATATAAGCATCTTATACCTTGAAGGTTCAGGACCAAAAAATATAGGCGTACTTTATAATAACAATGCTTCTTTCTTCCAGTATCTGGATCTACAATGGACAATCGAGCGGCAATCAAATTTTCCATTGTCGTCCCAAGAGCCTCAAATTATTTTTGAGGAGAAACCGCTCTTGAGTGTCCGCATTCCCTATGAATGCTCTGACAGCCAGTGTAAAAAATTGTCAGGTGAGTCAGCACTATAGCGTTAATCAATATAAACATGTATTTCATTATGATTAGTAAACCACGAAAAACTATATATAGAAATTCAAATTTGATAGTAAAAAATGAAAATACACGTTGTTATCAACTGGCTGGATTCACCCATACCATAGATGAATTTTCTAAGGTTCCAGTGGACTGGTTGCTGAGATTACGTGAACAAACCCGCGGCAAATAGCTAGAATTTTTATGGTGCAGTCATTACTAATCGCCAAAGAACATATTGTTCCAAATGAATAAAATGAGAATTTTATTGAATAATGTACATTGAACATTTAATTGCCACAAAAGTGTGTATCCTTAAATATTTTCTCAAATGAAAGACTGAAAATCGCCAGCCAAACTAAAAGACGTTTTATTTCTTTCCAGATATAGAAAAGAGTCCAGCACCAACTCCGAGCAGTGCAGTGCCTAATTCAAGCGGAACCCTCAAGCCGAAGCGAGCCAGAACAACTTATACCACACACTAGCTTGTACAACTGGAGAAGCAATTCTGCACTGACAAGTATTTGTGCCGACGCCGGTGCACCGACATGGCACAAGAATTAAACCTGACAGAACGCCAAGTCAAAGTCCGGTTTGAAAACCAGAGGATGAAGTGCAAAAAGGAAGAGGAACAAAGAACGTCATCTGCTACTCGGACATTCCCTTCGTCCACTCCTAGTCCAACTAGCAAATCGGGAATCCAAACGGTGAGGCCTAAACGCCATTTGGTAAAAAGGGGGCCGGATAGCCATAAAACGCTACCGAGAAACCAGAGGGAAGATAACGTTTTGTGTAACCAGTATAGTTCGTATCTACGTGTCCAAGTAGATACGAACTATCATCAACACATGCCACAGAATACATTCAACTACTATTCTGTGCACCTCGGACAACCTGTGCAGAGTAAGCCATCATATCAGCTTTACCTCAACACTCCTTCCTTGTCAACAACTACGTAACAGCCAAATCATTTTATGGAACAGTCTAACTAGTTTGTAAATTCATTGCACTTTAATGTCTCTGTAAACATTTTGTACTTATACCTGCATGTGTGTTTTCTAATTCGTGAAATATTTACACAGTTATTATTATTTATATAACTTACAAGCAATAAACTGACCTTCTTGTACATTATGCTCGTCTTTAAATATACCTTTTCACTCCTAAACAAATAAACGAAATTTAAAAAAGTCTTGACTACCTTTCAAAACTCTGAAATTGTAAGAACTTTTGATAATATTTATAACATGATCATAGACTCAAAATGATGAAACTGCCGTAAACTGATCACAAGAATTAAAAGGGCTGGAACTTCAGAATCTGCATATAGAAAATGTCGGCTCTCAGTTTGCTCTGAAACAAAAGGTAACGTGCAGTCAAAATTTTAACATGTAATATGATGTATCACAAAAAATCACTGTAATATACCGGGTGCTCCAAATTCAGCCCTCAGCATTGGGACTTCGAAAACAGTAAGCGATACGAAGTTGCTTAAATGGTGGCGAAGTTGGGTATTTAGGTATCTAACAAAATGCTGCTTAGAAAGTTTCGCTATTCAAAGTACTTCCTAATTTTTTTCTGAATTTATTTTTAGTGACAATTCGAAATAAATTGCACAATAACATTGCCACCTTTTCTCTTTTAGAAGATCGCGTAATTTGAATTTCAATGACCTTGTCATTGTTGATTCCAGAAACGTATAGTACGTCATACATTGACATTGCCAAATCTTAGTTAATAAAACGGAATTTACGCCTTGAAATTAAATGAAAGTTAATTACATATTGTCATTGTCACTTTACCAGGCCTTTTCGTTCGACTTCCATTACCTACTTCGATTTTGTCAGTCCTAAATTTAGATATGTATTTCCTTAGTTGGCCGCTAGGAGTTTGTTGTCGGATCGAAAATTATAAGGAAATAAAAAAGTACGGGGAAACCTGATCAAGAAAAAAATGTTTTTGATAGCAGTAACAATAATAATCACAAATAAGCAGAGTTAAATCATAGAAGATGTTCCATTCCTTTTCCGTTATTTTGTTGGCAAGGCCTGAACCTTGTCTGTATAGGGTGACCAACTAAGAATGCGAGGCACTGTATCTGAGCGAACTTCTGAAGGGGTAGCAGCCAAAAACCAGATAATAAGAAATAGATTTCAACCCTTAGGGAATGGGTGTCCTCGATGAAAAGTATCTCGAAAAATTATTCATACCTATATTAAGACAATTTATGGGCGAGATCAAATTTACTGAGCGAACTTCTAAAGAGGTAGCAGCCACAAACCAGATAATGAAAAACTCGATTTCAACCATTAAGGAATGGGTGTCCTTGATGAAATTATTCATATATCAAGACAATTTATGGGCCAGATCAAATTTTCTGAGCGAACTTCTGAAGGGGTAGCAGCCAAAAACCAGATAATAAAAAATCGATTTCAACCCTTAGGGAATAGGTGTCCTCCATGAAAGGTACCTCGAAAAATGATTCATATATTAAGACAATTTATGGGCCAGGTCAAATTCACTGAGCGAACTTCTAAATGGGCAGCAGCCAAAAACCAGTTAACGAAAAAATGGGTCTCTTTTTCAGCATGGGTAGCAGATGTTTCGGCCAATTCTTCTAAAGCCAATGACGGCTCTGGGGTGCACATATCTTGATCGTGCGGATGTACCTCTTTTCCTGTAGAAGGTCTATTTTGAGCGTTGCTCGTCGTTTGTCCATAACATAAAATAAATTTTCCATCTTTTATCGCGTTCCACAAACGATATAGTTTTCTTCGATTTTTCAATGAGTCCTTTATTGATAGCTTATTACATAGAGCTTCATATACAGATCCACGGTTTTTATAGGACTTGCACACATTAGTGACATTTAAATTCAGATCGAGGAGGGCAGAGTACAATTCATTCATGCCTAAATCAGATGCTTCGTTAGTTGGTAAACCCCTCAGAAATGTGTTTAGGTTTCTTCTAAAATCTGTAGTTCTAACTATCATAGATATCATGCTAGAGAAGCCATAATTTTAATTGAAGTGGCAGTCAGTTCAGGCTGGATTTTTTGCAACTCGGCCCATACTCGTAAAAGTTTGTAAATTTTAGTGCGAGAATTGTATTCTTTCACCATGATTAACGTTATTAGGTGCAAAGTACAGCAAGAAAAAGGATGGAATTTATATTAATAGATATACTGACGCAATGGCGTGTGCAAAATATTAGTGAATTTTGCGTGGGCAAACAAACGCCTTAATATAAATAAACTTAAACCTTGACAATGCGTCTAGGAAAAGCTTATTCGCTGAACTAAGACAATAAAATCTTTATAGTGGAGATCTGACAACATTATTAAGATAATGAAACATAAAAATGTAGTATATTAACGGCAAATCAAACAAAAATAATAAGACTAACTGAAACAGATAAAATTCTCAACGGTCAATGTTAACCGCAATGCACAAACCCGCAAAGCAAATCTCAATATTACGGGGCAAGTCAAGCTTGGCATACATATAAACCGTATAAGCTCATATCTGCGGGAGATCCATAAGGTTTGGCAGCGTCCGTCGCCGTGCTTTCTCAGACAGGCGCCATATCGCATTGCCGTCGCCGGACTGAGCCACCCTACGTGGAGGCTAGAAAAAACAATCAGCAAAAGTCGGCGACCGGCGCTGCCACACAAATAGTTTTTTTTCATAAAAATGATTTGCCATGATGTAGACCAAATAGCAAAAAGTGACGCACAGCGCAGGTATTTTAAGGATATGTTAGTAGTCTATTGAAAATATTAGTGATCTTGATGATTTCGTTTGCAACGTTTATATCCTTTTGCGAACGCAGTATCACAGTCATCTGGTTGAGCAGTCAAAAATATTTTTTCAAGCAACAGCGAACAAATCTCAATCAGACAATGTTAGGGAATTGATTAACATTCAGAATGATATTGAAATTGATCGGCAAGTCTCTGGCGACACGCTTTATTCCTCCAGTCCCTTTTATAAACGGTATCTAAATTTAATTAAAAAAATAACATCCACATCTTCGAAAACGGAAAAAAATATTTTAATCAGGACATGTTACAAGTGGCAGCAAGAAAGTATATTCCGTACTGTCCTCTGTGGTCTAAGCTTATGATTCAAAGCGGAAAATTGTTGAGTAACTCATAGGTGGAGAACTACTTCGGTCAACTAAAGCACAACTCAATGCAAAGTAAGCGGAATCTCAAATGCTTAGAATTCGTCCGGATACTGAGGAAAGATACTCTATCCCTGAGCAACGAGAATAGTCCGCAAATGTCTAAATCACGTCTGGCAACATCGAAAGATAAAACCGATGAAAAAACTTCCCAAGAGATATGGAATAAGTGGAAAGGAAGTAATAAGTCTTATTTCACCTGTAGTTATCTGCAAAAACCTGTCAAAAAGCCCAACTACGACCAAGCAGCTGTTCTTCAAAACTGTATCTTTCCAGAGAATGATGACGACTTCACACAATGCGTGTATTGTGGCCGTGGCACTACCGAAGCAATCACTAACTGGATTGAGTGTGATATGTGCAACAGCTGGGTGCATGAATACTGCTTACAACTAAATAACATTATTGAAATAGAAACATTTCATTTTAAGTGTAAGATTTGCACCGCAAAGGTTTCCCTGTTGTCAAATTCCATGAATTTATATCAGCGCTGTGAACAGTATCTAGTATCCAACGCACTGTCATCACAAGAAATGTCAGCCATTGAAAATGATGCCAGACTTCAGAGCGGCTGCTGAAGTGGAAGGAGGAGAGAAAAAAAGAACCTGTCACGTCGTCTTATTTTGGGCTGATTTGCAAGGTAAAAAATGAAAGCTCGTTCAGCAATATTATAACCACTTATTAATGGCAATGACATCAAAACGCCAGCTACCCTTCATGGCTGAAAATACGAAAAAGTGCTATACAATTGTACGAGGAGAAAATGGCTGTGAAATGCCCCTACAATGCGCGAAATTCATCTCCCCATGAGTACGAGTTCAATTTCTTGCATAAGAATGGCGAATCGATGAGGATAAGTCACACTTACCACTACCAGATACAAGGATTACTGGAAATAACGGGCAGGTCTTGGTGTGATCTAGTTATATATACCTTCAAAGGTATCAAAATTATCCGAGTATATCGAAGTCAAGCATTCTGGAATGTTATGATAAAGAAACTGAAGGTGATTTACATGTTTTACTTTCTTCCGGCCACTTTAGGTTTTTCTAAATTCTCCACCTCAGAAAGAAAATGGATGACCACTGTACCCCTCAAACTTATGGCCAAAGGTTTAGTACAGAATTTATATTAATACTGGTAGTTGCTAAATCAAAGGGGATATGTGGTTTTGATAAATCAAGATTTGCATTTTTCCATCAAGGAACTATTACAAGATGATTTTTCTATTTTAGGCAACAAGCGATATCTGAGTAATTTTGTTGTAGATCTTTGCCTACATTTGATCAATAAGTTCAGT